GAGCACCCCCTGAGGCATCTCAAGCACCCCCTGAGCCACGGGCAGGCACGCACCAGGCGCGAGCACCCCCTGAGGTGTCTCGAGCACCCCCTGAGCCACGGGCAGGCGCACACTGGGTGCGAGCACCCCCTGAGGTGTCTCGAGCACCCCCTGAGGCGCGGGGAGGCGCGCTGGGCGCGAGCAGCCGTGGTGGCACAGTAGCGGGAGTCGCTGATGGGGTTCCTCTGCGCTGCCCCTCGTGTCAGCGCGGCTCTCGGGTGTCACGCGGCGCAGGCGCGAGCCGCTCTGCGTTCCACTGTGGCAGGGTCTGAATGCCAGCTCGGAATTGGTGCCTTGTCCGAATGGGCGCAGTGCGGATGTAGTGTGGAGTAATCCCTGCTGCAAGAGGGGCCTGTAGCTTTTCTGAGAAGAAAGGGGTTTTGTTCAGGATCGCTCCTGTGGTGATGGTGTTGATAGAAGAGCCTGGTTTCTCTAGAAGTTTCCTCGGTTCCTTTTACTGATTTTGACCCCGATGTTGGATAAAGCCTGTTCTGGGGTGGGGCATTTTATGCTTCTCAAATTTTGGTCCTTTTGATTTTCTTGGGTTGCTCTCTCAGCTGTAATACATTATTGTTCATCTTTTGCTCTGTGTTGTTTGGAGCTGTTCAGTATTTTGAAGTGGGTTTGGGTGTTTTGTGTGGTTTTGTTTGGTTTTATTTTGTTTTTAGGGTTATGTTTGGGTACGATAGAGGGGTTTGTTTTTTTTCTAACCCTGATTTCTGGTGTTCCCTGGTAGGGTGACTGCCAGTCCCTTTCTTGGGAACTTTCCAAGGGAATGCTGTTCTCCATGTCTTTTCTACTCCCTCTTTGAACTTTCTAGTGCATCTGTCACTCCAGTAGTTTTTTTTATAGGGACTATAATGTTTGACCACTTGGGTCATTTTATTTGAAGGAGAAGCCAGCCTCACTTTTATGGGATTAAAAAAAAAAAAAAAAAGTTGTTGCCTTCTCCACAGTAATCTGCCCAGCTACCTCCAAGCTTAACTAACTAGCTACCTGCAAGTGAAGAACAGACCCCGGTAGCGCTGGGGAAGGAGTCCGGCAGGTTTTTATTCCAGAGCCCCTCTCTTTTGTGTGCGCAGGTCCGGAGGAGCTGGCGAGGCCGCCCGACATGAGGCTGCTGAGCCACACGCCCGAGCAGGAGCGCCCGCGCATCCTGCCCCCGGACCAGCGCCCCCCGGAGCCGCCGGAGCCTCCCCCTCTCACCGATGAAGACCTTGATTATCGGACAGAGAACCAGCATTTGCCTATAAGTAACTCTTCAGGAACAGACCCTCACGCGGGAGTGAAGGCAGCTCTTCTGCAGCTGCTCGCTCAGCACCAAGCTCAGGCCACGGCAGAGGAGCCGGTGCAGGCCACTGTGGATTACCAGGCCCGAGATGCCTACGGGGCAGGCCCAGACTACAAGGAAAACTTTGGATCGTCTTCCTTCTCCTCTGCCCGCTTCGGCAGCAGCGACGGAATAGGAAGCGGATCGTCGGGAGCGTTGGAAAGGAGGAGCTTCCTCGGGAGCTCGGATATCCAGCCCTTGGAGAACTACAGTACTGCTTCATCTCACTCTGGCAGCGCCCCCCCTCCGCCAGCCTTTGCAGAGTCCTTCCCCAGCTCGGTAACCGCGTATGGGGACATTTACCTCAACACTGGTCCCATGCTGTTCAGCGGGGACAAAGACCACAGGTTTGAGTACAGCCACGGCCCCATCCCGGTCCTGGGCAACAGCGGCGACGCTTCCGTGGGGCCCGAGAGCTCCCATTCCCTGCCCGCCAAGATGCACAACTACAGCTATGGAAGTAACTTGCAGGAAAACCCTGCTGGCCTTGGCCATGTGCATGGACAAACTTGGACTTCTCCTGCCCAAGGACCCGGCTTTTCCCAAGGATACAGGGGACACATTAGCACGTCTGCAGTGAGAGGGCGAGGCAGAGGATTGCCCTATTGAGTATCTGTTTTTCCTCAGGCACATCATTTTTATCTGGAAAAACTTTTTTGTTGTTGTTGTTTTCTAGCTGCAGTTTAAAGCAGCACTTCAACAGACTTGAATAATGTTAATTCAACAGCTTTATTTTTATGTGGAAAAGGGTCTTGCATACAGTAGGAAAAATTAAAGATGCTTAAAGCTCATGCTGTCTGAAAACTAGATAAATTGATTGTACATGTTCACAAACTAGTTCTGAATTTTATTTTGTATTTTGGCAGTTTTAAGTGGATGCTAAATTTAGGGACATCAGCTTTTTATGGCACTCTTTCAGATCTTCTGAACTATGCACATTTGTGCTTTTTTTGTAAGTTTGGACCAACTTTTATGTAAAGAAAAATTTTACAACAATCAAAGCAGGGCACTGATTTATTTGGTATTTTTCTTTTTACAGAACTACCTTTAGTCAAAGGTCACTGTCAGTCTTTGCACTGCTTTCAGTGTTATTGTGGAAGGTGTACTTTGTGCTCATTTCAGATAATAAAACACAACCTTTCTCTTGATGCAAAATTTTATAAATATTTGGTCAATGTTATTTTCCTTTTCTTTCAAAAAGATGGAAAAAAAAGAGAGAATGGATGTTCTGGTAAAATGTTCTCTCCATCTCCCAGGCTTGTTTATATAGAAACTGTTTTACTTGAATGGTAAGTGCCTTAACATGTAAGCTTAAGGTCTGCAAAAATTTGGAAGTACTTCATAGGATGATATGAAAATTAATACCTAAAACTAGGTAGTTAACATGAAAATTCAAATAATAGTAGGCAACTCAAGTAGGTTGTAACCTCGTGCTGTTTACTTCAGGGGCGCCGGTGATTTCGAGACTGAATCTTGTCTTGATGAAATGACAATTTCCTAATTAAACTTCTTAAGAAACCATGAAAGTGAGGAGAAAAATGAAGAGACGAGTCTTGTCCTCAGCTCCCTCCTGGAGCTGTATTAATTGTTTTAGTTCCTCTGCCAAATAAGCTATACTTTATATGTCCTTACCAAGTGATGAAATTGTTCGTTTTTTTTTTCTTTTCTCCTTCTTAAATGTCAACAGCAGTAACTGCGTGACTGTGTGTGTGAAAAGCTGACACTGTCGTCTTTTTAGCACAAATACCTTGAAACGGAAAGTAACCAAAGGAAAAATGACCAGTATTTAAAAGCAACCACAAAACATTTTACAGTAGTGACAATTCTCTGTAAACTGTGATTGTGCCAACTAACCATTTTTTATACCTGCTGTTCCACAGAAAGTTTTAATTTCGGAGTTGAGGCTCTTTGAGCAGCAGGTAAGATCACTAGTTAAAGCTCTCAACCAGGAACCACTCCTCGTATTAATCGTAACTTCCAGCATGTTTTTTCTTTTTTCTTTTTTTTTTTCTTTTTTCTTTGACAAGAAGTGGTCGCACTCCTGCAGAGAGGAGGTATGGTTATATTTTGCATGTACGTAAAAGAATGTTTTAAAGCCCATATTGGAAACAATTTTCCAACTGATTATCCAGTTGACAAATCGGTACCTTATGTAACTGAGTGTTTAATTATTACTTTTTAAAAAGTAAAATTTCTACTTACACTATTACAAATGTAGTCTTGTCAGTGACTTTTGGGATTTTTCAGAATAGAAGCCAAAGTTGTTGGGGTTTCCTTTTTGTTCTAGTTTAAAATCCTGGTTCTCACGTAGGGCCAACCACCCCGCGGCGGAGCGCGAGGAACTCGCTTTGCCAACCAGGTAGCTCCTGAGCACGAGGCGAGGGAGGGATGGACGGACAGTCCTGTGGCCTGAGGCTTCCCTGCAAACGCGGCCGTTGCCCTCGCAAGGCACAGGGGAGAATCCTGCTCCCTGAGCATAAAACCAACCCGCAACGAAAGCTTGAGACCGAAACGGCCTGTCCTGAAGGAAACAAAACCCTTAGGTGAGTGGCAGTGCACTGAGAGGCTTCTCTGGAGTAAGAACCCCTTAGGATTTTTCTGCTGGTAAAAATTATTATTAGTGTCACTTAGTAACAGTGTCAGCTGTGGGGGGAAAAAGAAAGAAAAAAGTTCAGATAAACAAGATACGTTTTTCCAAATCTAGCAGAGGCCTTTCAAAGCCCTTAGAGTTGTTGTCACTCAAAATGTGCAGTTTGCTGTTACTCTGCTGCCCTGCAAATGTAAATGCAGGTGATACTTCATTAAAAACGCAGGTAAGTCCAGATAAAAAGTAGGTCCCGAAGAATAAGAACCAAATGATTTGACTTGCAGTACAAAGCATAAGGAAGGTAGGACTTCTACTGCCTCCTTTTTGGAGGTAACTTTCAGATCATTTAGGTCAGCTCATTTCATGCAGAGAAACCAATCTCCTCCTCTGAATATGTAAAAAAAAACCGACAGTGCAGTTTTATTACCAACTGAGCGGGCTCCCATGTGGCATCGTTTCGCTGACACAGAGCGCAGCCTCGAGGTGCCCGAGCAGCCGTGTTGAGCGCGCAGCCTCTGCAGGCAGCTGCCCTCTGCGCGCTGCTGCTGGCAGAGCACAGAGACTTCCTTCCAGGTTTAGCCCAAGGATTCCTGATAGCCTTTAACTTGGGAAACTCTCAGCCTGCGACAGCAGCGTCGGCGCTGTTTGGAGGCCAAGGAGGCTCCCTGCCCCGGGTCCGCGCTCGCTGCCGCCGGGCCCGCGCGCTGCTGTCCAGCACGCCTCGTGAACTCAGCCCGCGCTCTAAGGTTCTTAGGTCAGTCCAGAGTTTTGTCCTCTTGGTTTTTATTGAGCAAACCCCGCTTGGCAGAGCGGCTCCGTGCTGGCCTGACGGTGTGGCGGCCATGTTCCCGCTCCTGCGGCTGGGATGACCCTGCCTCTAGGTCCTGCAGCCCCCTTCCCTCTGCCGCGGGGTTTACGCTCCCCGCGCTGCGTTTCCAAAGCTACCGAGACCTGGACGCGGCATCCAAAAGTAAGTGTTGTGTGCTTGTGTTTCTGATTAACCATAGCAAAATACTGTAATCATGGACTATCAAGTAGTGAGTGTTTCATTATTTATATTACGTGGTCCTTAGCCATGCTGAGAGGAGAAAAACAAACCCAATCGGAATGGTGTGACTGTGACTTAAAACATTTAGGCTACCTACAATATACCTACAATTATTCCTACAGTTCAGCCAAAGGACAAGGAAAGAGCTTTTATCCTGGATCCCTAATAGCCGTTGTTGTCTTGAACAGAAGGAATGGCGGAGATGGGTGTAAAAATACCTGTGTCTTTAAATGTTAATACAATTTCTTCAAAGAGAATTTTAAAATGACAAACTTTATTGTGTTTCGATAAACATGGTCTATGTTGAATTTCCTTCTTAACCTGGTAGCATAAGATGCTTTATATAAGCAGAGGTGACAAGTGCTGTAATGTAAGTTCTTGAGGTTTTGGGTGCTCTCCTTTCGCTTGGTACCTGTGACTGGATCCAGTTTTGCTTTTGATCGAGTTGTAGTTGGATCAGTTGAATTGGTAACTGTGCAGTAAAAAAAAAAAAAATGAAGTATTTAAATAACATAGGATACCTCTTTTCTGCAGGCAAATTAGATGTCAGACCATGAATTCTGTTTCTAATAGAGAAAATCTCCGATGTGCTTCTTGCGTTCTTGACTTTAATATTATGCGCTCGCGAGGGTTGCATCTGTTTCTCCGTTCTATTCTCTGTTTCACTGTTTTGTACACGGGGAGCTATCGGCTATTTCACTTTCTGATACTTTTGGAATGTACTTCAGACCCAGAGGTGTGTCAGTAAGGAAAAGAATTACCAGATAAATGATTTGATTCTGTTTTTAGAAATTAAATGACCTCGACCTTAAAATCAAACTAACCTTTGCTTATCAGGGTGAAGAATACATTATTGCAGGAGTTCTTTCAAGACAACCTAATTTAAAGTAATCAAAACTGTTACGCTTTGGCTTGCTTACTCTTTGTTATTTTAAGCCATTTGTATATAAAATGTATTGTGCGGCCTGTAAATAAAGTACCATGAAAACTGCACGTCCCTCCTTGTTTTCCCTCTCTGGATGCGGCTGCCAGGATGGGGGCTCCGTAGTGGGGCCGTGGTGACGTCCGTGGGCCACACGGAGCCCTGCAGGCAGGATGGGCTCTCCGGCGCCCGCCCTGCAAGGGGACGATGCAGATGCTCGGAGGGCCGGAATTCAGGAGCAGAGCGCCGAGTGCTGTCCGTGTCCGGCTACCCGCGTGTGCGGCAGCGGGACAGTGCGCATCAGGCGTGACTGCCGGCAGCTGCTCTGCGGGTGCCAGAGCCTGCCTGCTTTCCTCCCGCTGTGTCAGCTAATGTGACGGAAGGGATGAGCAATCCCACCAAATGTTATCTGCAGACCTGCCACGGCCGTATCCGCTGCGCTGTTAAACCTTGGTCAGCAAAGCTGCTGTTGTCATCGCTTGGGGGAGGTGTTGGCACAGTCAGAAGGTGAGTGGTGAAGGGGCAGCAGGAAGCTATGTGAGCCAGCACTAGCTGTGTGGCTGCTTCAGCATTCGGGTGACAAAATACACAACTGTAGCCTGAAGGATCAATCTTATTTGGGAAGAACTTGGCAACAACTACAACAAAAGCCTAGATTTTTATATTTGTTTGACTTTGGATGTATGGCTTGAGCTACGTTACCTAGAACGGTGGTGCTGAAGTGTGAAAGAGTTTCTAGTTGACTGCTCCCCTTTTCTCCCCCAAACTGCTATAGCATCTAGCAACTTTACTCGATCCACCGCGCTGTGCCAGGGCAGTGGCTGGGAGCTGTGTGGTGTCCTGTTCGTGGAGCTACAAACTCAGCCACTTTGTTCGTTGAGCCACTTAGCCCCTGAGATGCACAAATGATAGGGCGCTAACTCCAATTTGATCCACACGTGAATCGATATCCTGCAAATAAAACCAGTGTTGCATCCAGGAGACCACAGTGTGCGGCCTTGGGTTGGTGCCAAAGACTGAATGTGTTGGGTTGTCTGTGAAAACGGTGGCAGAGGAGGAAGCGCCTCTTAACGTTAGAGCTGTGGGTTATTGCATGTAACCTCCATGAGCAATGCAGTTTTGCAGAAACTTGTGTTAAATTAGATCTAACGGGATTAGGGTGTTTCTGTTTCTAGGGATCTACGCTCTGCTCCTGACAAACTAAGCAGGAGAAGGGGATATATTGACCATACTCCCATGTCATGTGGATTGAGAGTTCAGCCACAACAAATAAGTGGAGGGAGAATCTCATTTGATAAACGAGAAGAGTTGCTGCTTTTCTCCGTCAACTGTATTCACCTCCGTGAAGTCTGAGGGTTTTATTATCAAAGCCACATGCTCATTTCAGCTGTTTATTTCAGGATTTTTGTTTGTTTGTATTAATTGCCATGGGGGGAGTTCGCAGTTTCCATGCTTTGACTTGGGGAGAACTTGGGCAGTTGAGTCTACCCTAACGCTTCACTGTCTCCAGGTGTGAGGGCGCTTGCTACCAGGCCGGCCCTCTGGTGCTTCCTCACGGAGCAGCTTCGAGGCGGCCGGAAGGGGACGATTCCTCTGCGTGTGTTCTGGGTGTCCTGCCGCTGCCGCCTGGCCGCGCAGCGCAGCG